TTGTCTCAAAGTCAAATCAGTTGTTTAAAAAGATGAATTAGTTTTGTCACTGACTTATAGGAAAGCGAAATGTAACCATTTAATTCAAGTTACTAGAAAACTTTAAGTATGTTTAGAATAACTTGATATGTAATCTATTTTTCAACTATAAATTTTATTAAATCTAAACACAGATCAAACAATTCTGATGAAAAATTACTGTTAGTAAACTATACACCCAATTTCAAAAACAGTGTAGAAAGTAATATATTTTACATGGATTTTATACTTTGGGTATATTGGTTTAAATAAAATATTTAAGTTAATTTTACTTATTTACTTTTTAATGTGGTTACTGGAAAATTAAAAATTATACCTGTGATTCACATTATTATTTCTATTGAGTAGCACAAACTAAAGTAAGACCACAGAATTCTGCTCAGGAGACTTAAGATCATAGATTTCTGACTGGCTTACAAGAATAAGCCTCCCCACCTTTGTCATAGATTTAGGCTATTTTGGTTATTACAAGAATAGGTTAATATATGTAAAGTACACAGAAGATCTGTAATTATCTAGCAATAGCCAAATAAGCGTTTGCTATAATTACTGTCATAAGTATTATTTACCGAAATTCATTAAAATACAAACTTTTTTGAGAACTGGGGATTGAACCCAGGAGCACTATACCACTGAACTACATTCCCAATCACTCCTTCCTCTTTTAATTTTGTGACAGGATCTCCCTAAATTGTCCAGGCTGGTCTCAAACTTGCCATCCTCCTGCCTCAGCCTCCCAAGTAACTGGGATTACAAGTGTGCACCATCACGGTTAGCATTAAATAAATAAATAAATGAAAAACTTAAAAAAAAATACTCACATCATCAGTAAAAGAGCAAACTGCAAAAAGATGAGAACCTTCTGTGATCAGTTTGTCCCACTAGAGCTGTGACTAGGGCACCGTGAGTGACGCTGTTGACTTGGCTCAAAATTTAAGAGTCTGAACAAAACAACAACAAAACCTCAGTAATCAAGATAGATAAAAATTAATGCAATATTTTAATCACTCAAAATTATTCAAAAAGCCCCACTATGAACAAAAAAAACAAAACTGTAAATAACAACAGGAGTCGTGTTATCAGTTTCTCCCATTGCCCCAGGATCTAATATGGCTTGGAAAGATGGCATGACCCATCCTGCTTCTGTCATCACACTATTCCTGCCATGTCTTACCTTTAGCTGAGGCTGAGGCTGAAGAGCTGAAAAAGGGGCAGCATTGGGCCTAATCTAATGGCCCAGAAGTGCTTGTCCTTCTAACAAGTTGGACCTAACCCCACCCAGATGCAGGAAGTCTTCTGCTGCCCTGCCGGAAGTGGGCGGGAGGCCTGCTGGGAATACCCAGGCTGCCCTGTGGCCCTTCCCAGGATGCCCTGCGAACCAAAGCCAGAACGGGAGCCCGAGCCGTTGCCCCCTCTTGGAAGCCACTGCTCCTTACCTGGCCTGGAAACGCCACTATGGACCTCTCCAAAGGACACAACTGGAACTGGAGCCTCGGTTCCCAGAACACCATAGACACACTGGCAATAACTTTTTACCTCCTGTTGGTGCTGGGCCTCGGCCTGTGGGTATGACTTAACTCCAGGGGAGGGCGGAGCCTGGGACTCCTGGTGGGTTTAACCCCTCCCTAGAGTGTCAGCACTGGGCATCTTGGCCCCTGCCTATGTGCATCCCTGAGAAGAGACCTTTCCACTCTTCCTTTGCTTACCCTCTGCTTACCCTTCCTGCCAGGAATAAGCATGCTTCCTTATCAGCAAAGCCATCCTTCATCATCACCCGCTCACATGCCCGCCACCCTCCAAATAATCAAAAGGTCAAATGCTCCTGTACCCACTGCCTGGAAGCTAAAACCTTAGGGGTATTTCATAAGTACTCCTTGTTATGATAAGCATGATGATGATGATGGTGGTGGTAATCTTCACAGCCATTCTGTGAATAACATAGCTTGCCTTCCCTATCCAGGAGTCTTTTTATCTGCCGGTTCAACAAATAGTATCAAAACTATTTGAAAAATGTGGATCTCTACTGCCCCCATACAGACTTTTTTTTTTTTTTTGGTTATCTCCTAAACAGTAGGTTATAACAATTATTTACATTGTTTTGGGTATCATAATATCTAAATTATAATCTTGATATGATTTAAAGTACATAAGAGGATATTTTATAGGCTATATACAAATGCTATGCCATTTTGTATAAGGAATTTGAGCATCTGTGGATTTTGGTAATCCTCAATGGATATAGAAAGAGGATTGTACTATTATTTGAACTGAGCTTCCAAAGGTTAAGTAACAACCAGGGAATAATGGAGTTCAGACTCAAACTTAAAGCTGTTGTCTGATCTGATTCATAAGCTTAACCACTCTGCATTGCAAGCAAGACACAAAAGTTATGTGTAACTTAATGTTCTGAATATTACCTTTAAATTTGAGTAAGGAGATTATATTTTTTCTTCTAGTATAAGGTTGTCTCAGTAGGGTAGAGTCATATCTCCTTTACTGCCATCTGTCCACTAAAGCTTAGCACATAAGCACTCAAAAAGATGTCCCTTAACAATACCACCAAGTACCAGACATAGTCCTTGTTCCACTTGAATATCAAGTGTATATGAAAACTTTGGGTAGTGTCGTAGTATCTTCCCTTGAGAAAGTTATTAACCATCAAAGGACTCTGACTGGCCTGCTTCAGCAAGCAGGTGATGATGTCATCAGTTGTTAACAAGTGCAAGAGGTTTCATGCTGGATGGCCTCCTCCCTGCCAAAGTTTTAATGCCCATATAACCTATACTTTGGTGTGCTCCACCAGTTCACAGGTGGACTTTACAGTGAAGCTGGACTTTTAAAATGCAATCATTGGACATTCTCAAAGGCTTATAATGAATCATTTCTCTATTGGGCAGATGGACTAATGAAAACATAGACTCCATCCTATTAGGAGAACTTTGTACCATAAGAAAAAATACATTCGGCCTTTCACATCCAAGGGTTCTGAATCCATAAATTCACCTAACTGATGTTTTTTTAAAAATCTGTGCTGTAAATGTATACACATTTTTTCATTATCTCTTCAACAATACAGTATAACAACTATGTAGCATTTACAGTGTATTAGGTAGAAGTAATTTTTCTAGAGATGATTTAAAGTATATGGGAGTTATATACAAATGCTTCACCATTTTATGTAAGGAACTTGAATATCCTCAGATTTTGGTATCCACCAGGAGTTCCTGAAACCAATCCCTTATGAACACCAAAGGATTACTGCATAGGCCTTTTATTCCAAATGGAAAAGGCAAGCCTGAAGTATTTATTCAGATCATTCAAACAAATTATTTTCTTTTTTTCCAGTGGCCATAATTATTAGTTGGCCTAGGCAGGGGCTCTGAGTAGCAAGCACCTCTTTGGGAATACTTATCTCAGTTCCCTTATTGTTTAGGAAGCCCCTACATAGCTTGCTCTTGGCACAAATAGAGGTTATTCTCTGGAGGAGGTCAGAGAACTACTAAGCCATCTAGTCACCTCCAGAGGAAACCTGCTATTTCTGCTCTTCTTCTGGGAGCCATAAAACATATGCAGATATCCAGAATACTTTGATCCTTTTCCTTCTTTATATTATTAATTTTGCTCTGGTTCTTTTTGGAAATAATATACTCTTGTTAGTTACAAAATATTTACATGTTCATTGTAAGAAGTGAAATATAAATTTTTTAAAAATCTTACTCCTCTTCTCCAGTTCATTCCTATCTCTCTGAGGTAGCCAGGAACCATGGATCCTTCCTCCCCTTTTTCAGTTGTATGTACATATACAGACACATATAGTTTTAGTTTTTGTCTCCACAAAAAAATGGAATCATATCATAACCCATTATTCTGAGTAACTGGAATAAAATAAACCTAGACTCCTCCAACTGCATCATTAAAAAAGGCAAATTCCAGATGATCCAAAGATTTTTATACTTTACTTAAAAAAACCTATAAATTATTAGAATAAGTGAGAATAATTACTCTGAAGCTTGCTGTTTTTCACTTCATGTATTTAGTAGAGTGCTACAAGTCAATAGATATAGATCTAACTCATGCTTTAATTAACTGCATAATAATACAAACGAGTACTATTCAGCTCTTCTCTACTAATTGACCCTTAGATTTGTGCCAAGTCTGTTTGTTTAATGTTGTTGCTTATTAACTCATGTAGCACAGACTCCCAGAATGGAATTACTGAGTCAGAAGAGTATGTTTACTTTAAAATTTAAAAGATATTACTAAATGGAAATCCCCAAAGGTAGTTTAATTTCTCACAAGCGGTTTTTGACCATGCTTTTTCCTCAAGCCCTCACTAGCCTTATTTAATTTTTTTTTTGTTTTGCCAATCTAATGCATGAACACTAGTATCTCATTGAAGCATTAATTTATGCTTTTCAAGCTCCAAGTTAGAATCAGCATTTTTTAACGAGTTTATTGTCCTCTGATTTTTCTCTTCTGAGAATAGCCAGTTTATTGCATGTTTTTGAATGAGCTTGTTTTGCTTTGCTTTTATCAATTTATCCTTCGTTTGAACTACTGATATTTTTTCTAAACTATCATGTCTAGACAAATGTTTCTCAACCCCAGCACTACTGACTTTGGGTGCTGGATAATTCCATTGTGGGAGGGGGGGTACCTACATTACCATATTTTGAAGAATCCAGGACCATTACCTGATTGTGACAATCAAACATGTCTCCAAATGTTGCCAAATGTTCCCTGAAGGATAGGGCAAGTCACCCCTACTTGAGAACCACTGGTCCAGACCTGTTAATGGTTATCTTTTTGTCACTTGAGTTTTTGTTTTCTTTAAAGAAATCAACTCTCTCTCTCCTTTTATATCGTCCATATTTTTTGCTTGGCTTAGAATCATATTTCTGCCAAGTGCAGTGGCACACACCTATAATCCCAGCAGCTTAGGAGGCAGAGGCAGGAGGATCACAAGTTCAAAGCCAGCCTCAGCAATTTAGCAAGGCTTTAGGCAACTCAGTGAGACCCTGTCTTAAAATTAAAAGATAAAAAGGGATGGGAATGTGGCTCAGTGCTTTAGCACCCCTGGGTTCAATCTCCCATACCAAAAATTGGAAAAAAAATTATTCCTGAACTCTAAAACTGTACAAATATTATTCTAACTTTTCTAATAATGTGTAGGGTTTTTTTTATAAAATATAAAAATCTCTGGATCATCTGGAATTTGCCTTTTTTAATGATGCAGTGGGAGGAGTCTAGATTTATTTTATTCCAATTATTAGATAAACCACCCTTTTACCACTTAATTGAAATAAACATTTTCATGAATGGACTCCTTACAAGTACTTTAAAGTACAAATCTGCTGAAGCCCCATTTTAAACTAGGAAGTGAGTTTTTGTTGCTGGTGCCTTGGCGTGTACAGGATGCGAAATGTACAGCTTGTGCACTATGTGGCTTGATGGTGTACATGTTTGGGGCTTTTGTTTCTATTAATTTCTATTAGTTACATGTTTTAGGCTTTTGTTTCTATTAATTTCAGTCCAGAGATCTTTTAGGAAGTGTTGGATGCATCCTGCCTGCAATCTAGCTGTTGTGATTTGTGGTATTATTCCAGAAGGAGAGTAGGGAGGAAGAAAGAATTATGATATATGCTTAAGCCACCTTCTTGCCAGAATCTGTACTTTCTGTTTGTTCTTTTTTAATAGAAAGAATGATTTCATTCCTCTTAGAATGTTTTGTAAATTCCAAGTCTCATGTACTACCTCTACCTACCTACAGCTGACATCTTTCTCAAGAAGGGTTACCTATGCCATACTAGGACCTTTATAAATATTTACTGAATGGATGAAGTAAGACTGATTTAATATATATGAATTTATAGAGTTACTTTTTGGGTTTAAGGCTTTATGATATGAATAGTATGCCTGTTAAAATGCAGATACCTTGAATGGTGGCAGCAAGTTCACTCTTTCTATGGAAAAACTATTTCTGTCAACCATCTATCATCTTTAGCTCACGCTAATTAGGGAAAACCTGGAAAATCCTCTATATTGTCTTTTGACCATACCAGATCTGAGAATCAGAGTAGTAGAAAGGACTTGATAAATTGGAAGAACACCATAGTAATGACAGTATGACTCCCCTCCTGGAAGAAGCTAGGCATATGTTCAGGAAATTTTCTATTCTTGAATACCCAGTAGTCTTCCAGACTCCACCAGAAGCTGTTGCACTAGCTAACTATTTGGGGAGGGGTTGGATAAAGCAATCTTTTTTCACAAGAGTGTAGAGAAATGACCATGGCCTTACAGTCTCATACTTGGAA